TACAGTACCTGTACTTCTTTGTTTGATGAAGCGATGCTGATGCCACATTGTCGCCATAATGAGGCCACAATGAAGCGAAGCGATAATCGCCTAACTTTTTAATGTCGCGACATTGAAGCGATGCTGAAGCCATAACAATGCCATAATGACGCGATGCTGAAGCGAAGGTGAAGCTGAAGTGAAGCCAAAGCTTCCGCGAGAACTGTACTGTAGTTTGTTACTTATGCCACATTTATGTGATTATATTCTTATTTGCTGCTGCATCTCTATATGGAACTCTATCAGGAAGTAAAAAAAAAATTTCAGATCAGTCATATGATTTGGATTTCAGACAAAATTGAACTCATTGATATGCATAAGTGTTATATCTCAAGCACTGTTGCACTTAGGAAGATGAAACCTATGATGTTGTTAAACAAGAGATCTGACTAAAATACCAGATGACATGGTCATGTGAGCTCATTAATATGCATAACTGTTATATCTGAAACACTGTTGCAGGTAATCAGGTAAATACATATAGAAGCAACTGCATTTCGACTTCATGGTACAGATCATTCAAACTACCCTAATGGCTGGGCCCCACTGTCGCCACTTGTGGCTTTAATTTTAACTTCTTTTTGCTCTTAACCTTTTCACCACTGGACTTTCTCGCCCAAATTTGTCTGCACTTTTTTCTGATATTCTTCAATATTTCTAAAAATGAGCCCTATTTTGGTGCCAACAGAAGAAATTTTTAGTTTTTACTCACAAAATCTGGCTATTTTTTCCCCCCAGTCTTCTGAAGGAAATTGCAGACTATAAATGGGACTGTTTTGTGAATTTGTGATGAAAACAGGGAACTGGTGGTGGAAAGGTTAAAGCAATTTGATAACTGACAAGAATGATTAAATTTTGTTCAAGTAAATTGTTTGTTGTTTTATTGTAAATTTATAGATCATTAATATTTTAATGTTTTAATTCCAGAGAAGAAGTGGTTCCAGTTCTTCCAGTTCTTCTTCTTCTTCTTCTTCTTCTTCTTCTTCCTCTCATCCTAAAAGGCTTGCTGGTTCTCCTGTTGCCGGGCAACGATTGATGTCTCCTAACAATACGGTATGGTCACCTGTCAGCGTGTTTACTAAACAATCACCTTTGTTTTTGTCTCATACAGTGTCCTCTCTTCAGAACAACAATCACTTCCATTATAAGTGTTTCATACTTTGTATTTTGTCCAGTAAATAAGTAGAATTAAATTGTATGATTGTTTTACTGTAATTTAAGTCATATTGCTCCATAGTAAATTTTACATTTTGGTAAAAAAAATTCTTTAATTTTCTCAAATTGTTTTTTGAATTTGAATTTACTAAACTGTCAAAAATCAATTTTGATAGCAGATTTTGTTCATAATCATGGAACGAAGAGAGCAGACAATAATCATTCAATTCTATTTTCATAAATTCTGTGTAGATCACATACATGTATCATGTCCAGTATTCAATTAAGACATCTTTTAAATGTTCATATTTCATTTAGTCCACCATTTAGTTGGTTAGACTCGTACTTTAGTTAAGCTCTCTAGTAAAAGTAATGAATGAAGGTGTTCTAAAGGTGATTAGGTTACATCTATGTAAGTAATGTGTTTTCTCGTTCTTTGTTTATATTGTGGGACTACCTTTGCATCAACATATAGCTTGCTCAGAAACATCTGAATTGTGCAAAATACTGTGTCTAAATATACATGTACCTCAAATTAGTAATGTAGTAGATAACACAAAAAGTAATTCTTTAATTTTCTCAAATTGTTTTTTGAATTTGAATTTACTAAACTGTCAAAAATCAATTTTGATAGCAGATTTTGTTCATAATCATGGAACGAAGAGAACAGACAATAATCATTCAATTCTATTTTCATAAATTCTGTGTAGATCACATACATGTATCATGTCCAGTATTCAATTAAGACATCTTTTAAATGTTCATATTTCATTTAGTCCACCATTTAGTTGGTTAGACTCGTACTTTAGTTAAGCTCTCTAGTAAAAGTAATGAATGAAGGTGTTCTAAAGGTGATTAGGTTACATCTATGTAAGTAATGTGTTTTCTCGTTCTTTGTTTATATTGTGGGACTACCTTTGCATCAACATATAGCTTGCTCAGAAACATCTGAATTGTGCAAAATACTGTGTCTAAATATACATGTACCTCAAATTAGTAATGTAGTAGATAACATAAAAAAGTAATGCTGGAAGTTTTCATTGCAAAACCAGCTGAAAGCTGCCCGGGGAGTTGAGTAACGGTATGCTTGAACAGTGCTGTATATCAATACAATTGATCCATTCTATCATAGCGAGATGGTACTTGTTTATTGGTGCTTTGTGATTATTATGTGATATATTCAATAGCATCAATTGTAGAAAAAATGTTTAAATTTCTTATTTGATTTTTTGTTCAAATTTTATTCGCTAATATTTTGAATGGTGTTCAAATAGTGTGTGGATTGAGAGATTCACCCTCACATGTACATTTTGATGATAATATGTCACATAATATTCCAAAAACACAATGGATCCAAATACCATTTCAAAGTGCTTTAAACTCAGTTTACTAACTTTCTCAGAGTAGCAGGTGCTGCGGTGCTGCCATGGTGAATATATCCAGTCTCGCATGAACCTTGCTTCATTAGCACTAACTGCTGTGTCTCGTATTTCCCAGAATGCTTCACTAATCCTTACTTCATATGCAATGTACAATGTTGTATCACTGAATGGTATGTGCACATGTGTTGACCAGCATGGTCATAACTGTCCATTGGGTGCATGGATCAGTGGATGATGTTGTCCAAACATTGTTTTATTTACCAGCAGAACACATGCTTAACAACTACATTGAACAATGCCATTCTTACATATGCTAACAGCCAGTTCATGCCAATCAGTAGCTGTGCTCATGCAAAATATAAACAAGTGCATTCTCTGATAGACAATGACGCTTTTCATGTGTCCACACTGAATCATATACTTATCATAAAATAAGAAAAAATCAAATTGAATGGCAGATCAGTATTCAGTAGATGTAAAAAAATCATGGCTTACATTCATGAATGCATTTGTTTAGTGATATGTGTATGAATTATTATGTACATGTACTAACAAAATGTGCGTATTCAGCAAAACACACAGGCTTCTCTTTTACATTGCAGATAATATTCTGGGTGATTTAATGTAAATTATTACAAAATAATAAAAATGTAGCAAAATGTGTTAAGGTAAACGACAAATGTTCGTCTATGGTCTATTTTAATGATCAGGTAAACCATAAACACGTATTACTGTGCACTTCTATTTGAGATGCTCTGTAATAGAGCAAATAAGTCTCAGTCTCAGTTCTCAAAAAGATAGCGTACGCTCACTTTCAAAAGTAAGCGTGGAACCAAACAATGGAATGCTAGAGTGCGCTCACTTTGGTTGTGTAATGAAAGCTATGATCTTTTCTTCTAGCGTTTTAAAACACTAATTCAAGCAACGTTATTTCGCAATTTCGATCTTTTGTAAACCTGGGATGATGTATCAAGGTCTAAAGTAACCGTTTTATCAATTTTTGAAAAATGAAGAAAAAAGTGAAAATTTCCCTTCTCGTTACCTTGATGTTTATAGAAGTTTGTTTCTTATCCAATCTGGTGCTAATTTCACATCGAGTTGGACGCCATGCATACAGTACTTCGCATAATTACGCCCCCTCCTTCTCGATTTTAATTTTGAAAACATGTATTTCCATTTTCATCAGTCAAGTATACTTACCTTAATTAAATATGACGTGCAATAACAAAATAAATGTAGCAATGTGACGAAACAATATTTATTAACACTTCCTAAAACTGCAGCAAAATAGTGATGGCAATTATCATTCTATTTGTTGAAAAGGTACTGTGAAACGGTTCGTTTCCTTCAACAGGGCTGGGTGTGGTGGGGCGTAGAAGTTAGCTTTTAATTATTGTTGGAAATCGCGTCAGTGTCAATCACCAAACGTAATCTTGGGTTCGTGACCTCAGCTGGAATTAAAAACAACTCTATCCATTGTAACTTCACATAAAAACCAATCATCAAGCACTGGCATTTTGTCCATAACTGTGATGTCTGAATAACACAACCGTCACACACTGCGATAACAACAAATAAGCCGATACTTTGACGTGCAGCAAAACATCCAAGCTTTGCACAGTCACTTGAATGCTGATATTTATCTAACGGACAAGGAAACAGATTTATTAATACATATAATGCTTCTCATCCCACCCATACTTGTTGGGACTCTACTGGTTAGTTGTCTACAAGTGACAGAAACGGACATCTCCATTCATCCATCTTAACGTAAAATGCCGCCGATTACACGTAAACAATTAGGTGGTCACACCTTGGTCAAGGTGTTAATAAGGTCACATATAAAGCGACACTTCAATTTACAAGTAAACTATCTCAAGCATTCCATTGTTTGCCTTTATGCCCAATTTTGAAAGTGAGCGTATGCTCAACTTGTATGAGACGCTCTTAACAACGAATAGAGGAAGACTACTTTTTGATGCCTCTATCTTACAAGGTCATAGAGGTCAAACTACGTGAATACTTAATTAAACATGGTTGCTTTGTTTTAGCAAACGTTCTCTCATGTGAAAATGTAAACTTGTGTCAACTTCATATTAAACTGAGCATAGTTCTCATTACATTATTAGCATTCTATTGTTTGTCCCCATGCTTACTTTTGAAAGTGAGCGTACTCGAGCATTCCATTGTTTGGTTCCATGTTTACTTTTGAAAGTGAGTGTACGCTCAACTCGTAGTTTCATGAAAACTGAGATGTTCAGTCACCACGCTCAACTACCACATAGAGACCTGTTTGAATACATGCAATGTTTTGACAATGTAATTACATCGTCCATCATTACTGACTTTCCAATTCTAACACAAATGAGCACTTTTAACTTCACAACAGAATTGAAATTACACACAATTTTTGTTTTTTTACAGAGTGGTAGTGCTGCTTCCTCCAGTAGTAACTCTAGTAATTCCTCCTCTCCAGCAAGCTCACAACCATCCTCCCCACCGGACTCACCCATGCTACATCATAGTCTAGAAAAACAAAAAAGTTTACCAATCATGGGCAGGCATAGCCAAGGAGTTCAAAATGAAGCTTTTGAAGAAGGAAGTTTTAAAGAAAAAGGTTGGGCGTCGTTTGAGACTGACACTGATGAACTTGGTGAGTTAATAGGCATATGGTTGTAAAATAAAAGTTTGTGATGTGCAGCGATTATTTTGTTTTCAAACCATTAAATATTTAAATAATAGTCTTTATGATAGTCTTTATTAGAAATGATGTCAGAGTGCAACATTAAAATTGAATTGATCTTAAGTATTATGTTTTGTTTTAATTTGTAAAAAAATTCAATTTTTAGATCCACTGTAGATGAAGTTGAGGGTAGCTATTGGTGTTACGGATTGTCATTTCATCACCAATTTCACATTTTTACTTCTTAAACACTGTTAGCTACATGGCTTTATACTACTAGTATATGGGAAGATAACTTGGATAGATCTATCTAGATTAGTTCATATTTTGTAAAATTCACAATTTTGTAATTTCAGTGATACTTTTTGAAATGGCAAGCCCAATTGCTTTGATATGTTTTATATAGATACTCTAGGAGATTAGTTCATTTTGTGACAACTTCTTCTATGCCATTTTTTGGGATCTGATTGATTATTCTTCTTAAACAGTGAAATTACATGTATATCAGTAGATACACTGCTTGTTCATTAATATTTTCTTTTTTGTAAAATTTTTTTTAGTTCCCAGTGAACAATATGAAACTGTGGTGCAGCAACAGACTGCTGCAGGACCACCACATCATCAACAAGTGTCACCACAGATGATGCAACAGCAGTCCTCTTCTGTTGCTCCACATCAACACCATGACCCTACTACGGTGTCTCCTCTCATGATGCAGCAAACAGCAGCAGCACAGCAACATCAACCTGGTGTAGTGTCACCACATATGCTGATACAGCAACAGCATGGACTTGGACAAACTGCAGCTGCGACTGTTGTCACTCAGCAACAGGCAGCATTACTTCAACAGCAGCAACAAGTTGCAGCCATGCAACAGCAACAGCAGCAACAGAATATGACTCCACAGCAACAAGCTTCCGCTGCAACAGCATTAGCACAGCAGCAAGCAATTCTGCAACAACTGCAGCTAGCATTGGCGCAGCAACAGATATTTGTGGGAGTAGGACAGCAACATATTCAGTTAGTTGAGCAAGCTGTTATGCATCAACAAACGCATGAACATTGTAATGATGATGTGTGGAAAGTTACTGAGGAGCAAAGAGAATATTACACAAACCAATTTAAAGCATTACAACCAGATATTACAGGACTCATTCAAGGCAAGTTTACTCGTGCTGGGGGCTGCAACAGTTACACATTCCTGTTGGACTTGTGATTTTGGTTTTGTCTGTCCATGCATGCAGCCAACATTGTTTCCTCAAAGACAAACATATACATGTCAATTTTTTTGTTTGTTTGTTTGTTTGTTTCTTTGACTGACTGGTAGTAGTCATTTTATCTCATTTTCCATTGTTTTTATTCATTTTCCACACTTGAAATGTCATACAAGATGTCAAGTCATGTTCATTTGCTTCTTGTTCGATGAAATTTCCTTGAAAAATTACTAAATGGGAAAATTTCATTCGATCTATATTATTCAGGTGTGACAGCGAGGGAGTTTTTTCAGAAATCAAAGTTGTCTTTACCAGAACTCTCTCACATATGGTAAGTTTACTATCACCCAGCCCTGTATACTGTGAGGTACATTTGGTTTCCTAAATCGGTTTCAAAATGACTGATTGATGGCCATTTTGTTTTTATGAAAGTCTGTTCCAGAGAAGAATCTCTGACAATTTCAAACTTCACAAATACATACCATAAATCATGTCACACATATGGAAATGCGTTTATTGAGTTCCTCGATTCAAGATGACTGAATAGTGTATTTCAAACCTAAAAATGTGTCAAAATCAAGCATTTCCAACATTCCAGAACAGTATCACGTAGCATGTCAAGTTTTGATTCAAAGTGACTGACTACAGCAAGCAACGACTGCGTCATGTCAATTAATTGTTTTGGTAATATTCGTTTATAATAATAAACTCATTTATTTTCAAAATTTGTTTTTCAACAGGCAGTTATCAGATGTGAATAAAGATGGTGCTCTTTCACTTGAAGAATTTATTACAGCCATGCATTTAGTAGTATTACGTAAACATGATATTGAATTACCAGATATACTGCCCTCATGTCTAGTACCAAATATCGGACCAAGGACTGAAGGTATGTACTGTACACCTACTGAATCTAAAATATTAACATGATTTTAATTACCATCTTTGTCTAGTATTAATCACTGATGTGAAGACGCAAGTCTTGTATGAATTCATTCCACCTTCACTCGCTGTATGTACAGCCTAAACACCATCCCACACTCTATAATTTACCACTCCATTCCTTTCCTACTCACTTATCGCTGGCCCTTCCTACAGTGTAATATTACAGTTACAACTATACAGCATACATACACGCATACATCTATGCATACTGCATGTAGCATAATGAACAAATTTCACTTTCTAACATTGGTATGTTTGCATTTTGCATAATTTGATGCTTTCATGCTCTGGATACTGGTCCAATCACAAACTCAAAGTTACTGCAGTTTGATTATATGCTTAGTTTATGCTTTGTTTTTAAATATGAACATTTATTTTTAAGACTGTACATGAATACTGTCCTCTAAAATGGCATCTAATTACATTCACCATGATGGATATGCAAATGTACTGTAAAACATGTATTTTTCGCGAGCATGTCTTTTTAGCGAAATTAGCGAGACAACGAATTGGCTAATTTATGATGTCGCTAATGACTTCATTATAAATTCAAAATGGCGACCAAACACCGTCTTTTTCTCCACACACACACACACACACACTTTATAAACAACATACAAAAATGTAATAATCTGGAGCGCTTTCTTATTACACTTGACAGATTCTCTCTGTTTTAATGGAGATGATAATTGCGCATTTCTTTTGGCAGGCGACAGACAAGTATTGTAAAAGTAGGAAATCAACAAAGACAAGAGAGATTCGCTAAATCAACATTTCGCTATTATGTCATTTTACCACAATTTGCTAAAATAGTATGTCGCTTTTTCAACATGTTTTACAGTATACATGTATCTTTGATCAGATTGACTTCATTGAATGTGTCTCCTTAAACTGTTATTTGATATTTAGTCAGATTTTTTTTTGTACAGTTTAACATAACACCTTTCAGTGTTTAAATGCAGACAACATTAACTCTGGGCATCATGTGATCATGGGAAAATCCACTTATCACGCTCACCCACACTTTGTTTCATTATTGGCTGATCTACTTACTGCTGCCACTCCCTCTCCTTTCTAATCTTGTCTTTACATAACAGTACTTGTACATATTGATGATACTGATGTCCAACCACAGCCTGCACAGCCTGGCATCATGCTGTCATCAGGTTATAATCTCTAACTCTCTCATTCAGTGTATCATCCACACACAGTGTCTGCATGTCATGTCTAGAGTTCACTTCTATCATTATAGACCCTTTGCATGTAATGTTGCATGTACATGGCCATGAGATGTTTTTTGTTACTTCAATGGCATTTGAGGGAACCAAAATGGCCGCCAGTATCTAGGCAACTGCATTCAAGAGACTGAATGTGTAAAGGGTCTATTTGAAATAAGACACAGCACATAAATGTTTATAATAAACCTGAATTGCACTAGTCATACTGTCTACTTCTTATATTGAGGCAGATATCATCCCATTTTCATTAGTTTAGATTAACTTGGTGTTGTATTCAAATCTTTCAGTACATGTATATCAATTTTTTTGTGAGGGTGCATGGCCAAAAAAAATAGTATCATTTTCTTCATGATCTGTTTTTATGAACCACACATAGCGCAAGTGTAATTGCATATAACTTTAAGTACAAGGAAGAGACATTTTATATAATTTCATACAGTTAATGGAGTGTCACAATAGTATAAATATAATACATTTGTCACATGATAAATGTAAATTCAAATGTCATTGCATGTACAGTTGTAGTTGTTGGCAATATACTGTAGAATACTTTATTTTCGCTTGGAATTTATTTTCGCTATTTTCGCTGAAGGGATGATTTCGTGAAAATAAAATCCAGCGAATATACTTTTTTTCCTATATTTCACATTAAACTCTTAAAAAAATCAGTGAAAATAAGTTCCACACAAAACGCCCAAAAGTCTTATCAGCGAAAATTAATTCCAGCGAAAATAAATTATTCCACAGTAATTTAAATCTTGCTAGTTAAAACACGGTTAATTTAAATCTTGCTAGTTAAAACACAATTAATTTAAATCTTGCTAGTTAAAACATGGTTGATTTAAATCTTGCTAGTTAAAACATGGTTGATTTAAATCTTGCTCGTTAAAACACAGTTAATTTAAATCTTGCTAGTTAAAACACGGTTGATTTATATCTTGCTAGTTAAAACACGGTTGATTTAAATCTTGCTAGTTAAAACACGGTTAATTTAAATCTTGCTAGTTAAAACACTGTTGATTTAAATCTTGCTAGTTAAAACACAGTTTATTTAAATCTTGCTAGTTAAAACACGGTTGATTTAAATCTTGCTAATTAAAACACGGTTAATTTAAATCTTGCTAGTTAAAACATGGTTGATTTAAATCTTTCTAGTTAAAACACGGTTAATTTAAATCTTGCTAGTTAAAACACAGTTAGTTTAAATCTTGCTAGTTAAAACACAGTTGATTTAAATCTTGTAGTTTATAGTATTATAATTTAAATCTTTTTCAAAACTTGGTAAATTTATATTTTAATGTAATTCATAGAAATAAAATTGAAATCATGCTTGTTGAGATCTGGTTGATTTACATCAGGCTATAGGTATAATTATATACCAGTAAAGCTTATCGTATTTTGTTGAAACTTGATTACCGAGTATGTATGTTAGTTGAGATAATAGTGTGATTCAGATTTTACAAGTTGAATAATTCAACCTTGTATGTCGTTAGTAATTTCACACAACACGACTATAACCAGTTGGTATCAGCCATCCCATCTGCTTGAAAAATAACTAAGCTGAATAATGAAAAGATTTGGGTCTGTAGGCCAAACATGTGCAAAAAAACATGGTTTACAGGTGATAAAATTAACAGAGATATTTACACGTATTTATTGAATTTGCATAGTTCAAATGATATCTCTTTGCATATTAAACACTATTGGCATGACATTCTTGACTGCAGCATTCCGTGGAAAATAGTGTTTTCGCTTCCTTACAGGATAACAATGGATCCCAAATTAAGATATTTTCAATACAAGCTTATTATGAAATTTTTGCCATCAAATCGTCTTCTTCACTCATGGAATATGATTGATGATCCTGTATGTACGTTTTGTAAGAAAGTAATAGAGGACTATTTTCACCTCTTCTGGGATTGTGTTTTTATTTCAAAATTCTGGTCATGCGCATTACAGTGGTATCGTACTATACACATACCAAAGTATCATTAAATGCAATGAAATGTATCCTTGGTGATGTCGAAGACCATGCCAATATATTATTTAATGCATTTCGCTTGATGGGTCGATACTACATCTATCGTTGTAAAATATTGGGAAATAGTATCAACATGAATTGTTTCAAGCTGTATATTAAATCTGTGTATACTGTTGAAAATCAAAGTGCATGTATGAACGGAAAGCAATCTGAGCTTGCAGAGAAGTGAGGTGCGTTTGAACAATACTTTTAACTAGAACGATTACTAGATTTGAATTCTTATTTCCTTTTCCTGTACATAGGTATTCTTTTCATTTTCTTTACAATGTCATGTATTTATATAGTTAAAAAAAAGAATGCAAAAAAAAAGTCATTTCAAATCATGGTACTTGAGACTTTGTTTATTCTTGCATGTAGTTAGTAATAGTATAAAATGAAATCACTCGTTGTAACTTGATTAATTCAAATTGTTATGTACATATGGTTGATAATAGTATACTTCAAATTGTTAAGACTTTGTAAATTTAAGTCTTGCTGGCTTATACAGTTATTACCGTAGTTGAGGCTTATGTGTTGGTAGTAATCTGAGAAAATACTTTCTAGTTTGTTTGTATCTTGTATGTTATTAAATTTCATATTGTAAGTGTGTAAACTGCATGCCATCCCTTGTGTGCAGTATTATAATACTCCTTATTATATCCGAAAAATAATATTCCCTGATATGTTGTCTTTCCCTGTAGTGCTTGTCCAAGTATAAATTCTTTGTTCATTTCATATAGCTGATGTTGGCTGCATTCCTGAACAACCTACCCATAACATGTATAATTATATTCAAAATGACAATGCATTACCAGGTATGTTTTTTAGTATATATATATGTATATATTTATTTTTCTATATTGTCAGCTGATCCATTTACTAGTGCTCCTTGTCCGACTACACCTTCAAACTCTCCGGCTACCAAGGCATCACCTCCTGCACAGTGGGTAGATCCGGATCCACAACAGCCTCAACCACAGCCACAACAACCGCAGCTACAGCAGGGTGAGGTACGTTAAGGACAACTTTCATATTTCTAGATTTTTTTTTTACTGATCAAATTATATCAGTTTACCAGAATGTTCTTTTGAAACCTGTTTTCATACACCTTGTCTCTGACTGTAAATTACCAAGTCAATAAAGAAAACAATTGAGTTGACCTTTTCTAAGTTCTCCCAAACTTTAAATTCTGCCATGTAAATGCGCTGCAAATACGTAATTCGTACCTTCCGATAACTGGAGTTCACCTACAGTGGGGTCAAACATCAATATCGCAGCTATATTAATGTATGTATTCATAGTTTACTAACTCATTCATTTGACACATTTTATGAAAAACATAACATAATGTATCACAAAAAATGGTACAAATATGATGTGACCTTTATGATTTCTCATCTAAAGAAGCAGCGTGTTAACAGGCATTAATATTCCAGTGAGATGTATGGATTGTGCTGAGTTCATAGAAATGTAGCAAAGTAACATTACAAAAAAATACCTTTGTTTACTGTACATAAATTGTTCTCTAAATATGTACAAGAATATATCAGAAAACAAGTAAACATTTGTGTAATACTATGAAACAGTAACGCCATTTTTTGAGGGAAATACAAAAAAATTTACGATCACTGTGATGCTGAAATGTTGATTTGACTTTCAGTTTGTAAACTGTGCGAAACAATCTCTAAATAGGTGAATATAATACAAAAATAACCAAATAAATTTGAAATGTATTACTACTTGATAAAGTACGGTAGCTGAGTATGGTCATTTAGTGTGGAATGATACTGGTCTGTCATAGACCTGTTAAGCTTGTTTCTCCATAACGCATTATGTGCATATTGTTAAACCGTAAGTATAATGACCCACCATGTGCACTTGTGGTGAAAAGGAAATAATTTGTTTTTCTTCACAAAGAACTCTGTAAATCATCAATTGCAACTTGCTGTTTCTTCCTGCATTATCTATAATGTAAAGTTAATAAAGTTAATGGTAAAATTCAATGAAATATTAAATATTGTTAATTATTATGTTGTTTTCATATCTCATCTGTGCATTCACGACTCTTACATTACTTCATTTGCCGTCAATGTGCTACAACCTGTGATGCACACATGTCTTGAATGTACCGTACCACACACCCTGATAGAGGGCAGTACCACATTCATCTCATCAGCTGCACACATTACACTTTGTTATCATAGTTCATTTAAAATTAATTGCTTCATGTCTATAATTTATACATTTGCAGAATAAAGTATTATAGCATGGTACCAGTAATAACATTGGTTGAAGCAGAAACATTTTTTTTTTTTATTTTCAAACTATCAATCAATGAAGAAAAATAATGCATAGGTGACATCGGGAGTTACTGGAACTATGCTGTTTTATTGCTCATTTTAAAATAATTTATTTGATTAAATATTATTGTAAACTTAGTTTTATTAATAATAATAATAATCATAATTATATTTGATTGTTTTGTTAGTCCAGTAATTTCCACCAGAATCCATCAAAATATGGCCAGATAAAATTTGTGTCCTCCATCAAAGTGATGCTACTCCACAATAGTCGGAGATGCTACTCCACAATAGTTGGAGATGCTACTCCACAATAGTCGGAGAGAATTTCTAAATGTACCGGGGTACAGCAAGTGTAGAAATCTTTAACCATTGATCCGACTTTGTGAAAAAAGTAGTTTATTCTTCAAAATCAAGGTTTATCTCATTTATAAGTGATCAATACAAATAATGTTGATTTTGATCTTAATTAAATAATTTAATCTAACTTGTAAACAAAATTTAAATTTGAAATCTTTTCATTATCAGACTTTATATGTTGCATGTTTTTCCCACAGTCAATTTCTTCACCTGCTCACTGATTTTGGACCTTGTGTTTCTGGTGTTCATAAAAAGTGATAAAATTTAATGAAATAACTATCTTTTACTACGTATTGTGGAAGGATACAATAATTGAAAATGTGTTCAAAGGTTTATGATTATACATTCACGTTATTACATCTGTGTACATGGTCCCTAAAGCCTATGTTTTTCTCATTGACAGCAGCAGTGGGCTACATTTTCAGATCACGGTTCCCCGCCTGCATTGCCACCGTCCCCATCATCACAATCACCGGCTAATTTTGACTTTGCATCCATATCACCTGATCCTGTAAGTTATCACATGATATGCTTTATATGGATACTCATTTGCATGTTAGCCATGATTGGACGTCTGATTGAATGTCTGTAATTGTCACTAAACGACATGATTGAAACTGACAATCTTATCAATAATTTTTTCTTTAGATCAGTACCAATTTTACCTGATATTATAAGTTTATTACGAGGCACCGCTAAGTATATGCAGAAAAAGTATACTGCCAGTATTAGATTTTCAACTAACAAGTAACTAAATGTCTGAGTGCATACGTTGTGGTATCACCATAATACTTTCTCTGTATCTGTCACTTTATACACCAGTATATCTCCTGACATTTACAGTGCGTCATCATTTTGCGGTATTTCTTGCTGTCTCTGCGTTCTACCATATTAGGAATTACAAATTCCAAGTATGGAAAACTTTCTAGGAGGGTGAAAGTTCCAATGATTTTCACCATTTTACGCAATCCTGGGCATCCTGTCCCAAGCGGTTGATTTGGGAAGATGTAATACAAGTTTATTACATGAATGCATCAACCTCCACTATGCATCGATCAATACTCTCACTGTATTGTCTTTGTGCATTCTTTGTCTCATTCTCGTAATAACCTCATATGATTCTAAATGTACCAATCCAACTTATAATTCAAAATTCAAATTATACACTTATTTACTTTAATAATTTTATTTACTCATGTGTTTATATATCAAATTCATTTGTATATTTTTATCTGTATATATGTTTTATAGTGAATTAAACATCATTCATTCATTCAACTGATCTTTTTGGCCTTGATCTGATAATATCAATTTTATTAAATTTAAACTTCTAGAGACATTATATTTGATGACTTCAGATTGTTGGTAATTGTTTTGACAGGAAGGGAGAATAGTTCAACCAATCCCATTAAGAATGTCACCAGAGGCTCAACATTTATCACAGGAGTATGCTGACAAGGAAGCGGCTTTGAGACCACGCACATTCTCAGGTATGAACTCTACATTTATTCAAAGAGTGGTCTCTAAAGTCGCTTGCTGGGATTCGTTCACTGATCAATGTGATGTAGGAGGGGGGGACTTTGCTCAGGTCCATCTACAAAACTATATATAAGCTGCTTGTGTTCAACACAACTTGGTTGATATAGAAATGTGACATTAAATTATCATCATGATGGTTTTTTAGCTCCATTGTCGACGAAGTCGAGCGGAGCTTATGGTATTACTGATTGTCGTCGTCCTCCGTCGCCACCGTCATCAACTTTACATTTTCGACTTCTTCGTAAAAACCACAAACTGTATAGCTGTGAAACTTTCTAGGAAGGTACCTTGGGTGGTTCTCTCTCAGATTTGTTCATTTCATGTGGATATGTTCAATTGTCTTATTTATAGCGAATATTTTTGTCAATTTTGGTCAAAAATACTATTTTCGACTTCTTGAAAACCGCTAGCCCAAATCCTTTGATACTTGGTATGTAGGTACCTTGGGTGCACCTCTCTCAGATTTGTTAATTTCGTGATGATATCTTTCTTTAATTTTGATGAATATTTTTGTCATTTTTGGTAAAAAATTATATTTTTGACTTCTCCTTGAAAACTGCTTGTCCAATTTCTTTGATATTGTATATGTAGGTATATCAGGTGGACCTCTGTCAGAGTTGTTGATTTTGTGACAATACTTCAATTCTCTAATTTTGATGAATATTTTTGTAATTTTTGGTCAAAAACGTTATTTTCAACTTCTTCTTGAAAACTGCCAATCCGATTGCTTTGTAACTTTATTTTTAGGTACCTTGGGTGAATCTCTGTCAGATTTGGTAATTTCATGACGACATCTTCAAATCTCTAATTTAAGTGAAATATTCTCTGCAACAAAATAAAGAAAGTTGGTGTCTTGCGATATTAAAGCAGCTAGCATTAAGTTTAAATTGCTTCTTAGTCATTGCTTTCAGAGCATGCATCACAAAGAGCGGAGCTATATCAGTCGACAGGCTGCTAGTTAAAATATGAAATTCATCACAGTTATGTCACTGTTTATTTGTTTGCACTTACAATTTAACTGTATCAAAGCTTTGTCCTAAGCTTTCAACTTGAATATTTAACCAGAAACATTTCATCTACATGTAAAGAAGTACTGTAAAACATGTTGAAAAAGCGAAATGCAATTTTAGTGAATTGTGTTATTAAAAATGACGTAATAGCGAAATGTTGATTTTGCAAATCTCTCTTGTCATTGTTGATTTCCTGTTTTCACAATAGTTGTCTGTCACGTGCCAAAACAAATGTGCAGTTATTACCTCCATAAAAAAAGAAAATCTGTCATGTGTAATTAGGATGTTCTGGATTACTGTATACAAATCCCCAAGCCTTGGCCATTTTGAATTTATAATAAAGTCATTAGCGACATCTTGAATTAGCGAATCAGTTCTCTCGCTAAATTCGCTAAAAAAACATGCTCGCGAAAAAGACATGTTTTACAGTATAAACCAAGGAATGGTTTGATCTTTAATGTTGTGATGTCATTAAATCTCATTCCTATTATCTGTATTGTGGTAGATCCTGGTACAGGTGGTATGATGTATGATAATAACGGTCTTTCTGAAGATATCCCGGCTCCATCACTGGTCAAACAGAGATCGTATACGGATGTTGATAGACCTGATGCAGTCACAGATCAACAAAAACCAGCTAAGCTTCCTCCACCACCACCACCATCTAAAGACAAACGAGTCATAGCTACAACGTCAGGTATTGTTAGCATTGTATGTCCATTGATTGGGCAATATGTTCACTAGCCATAAAATATATTTGCATATTATTGCCTACATTACGTAGTACATTATACAAAATTTCAAATAATTGCACACAACATTTCAGTCTGTTAGGGAAAAGGTGTCTGTAGTATTTATCGCTACAGAATATTAATTATTTTGCATATGTGTGCATATATGCTACATTACATCTGTGTGTCATGCCTAGGACTGGGAAATAGGATGACAACGGTAGAAGCACTCTCTTCCTTATCCATCTAGGAAGTGTCATGCTATTTTCCCTTATTTGGAATTTGCATTTCCTAATGGGGTAGGTTGATTAAACCCTAAATAACAACAAACTGCATCTAATTGTGAAGCGCTGGAAGTTTTCTTACAATACCCACTATTCAAGTTCTTCCATAAAACATACTTTTTTTATTGTAATTTCATATGCAAGACTCTTTCCTTAATAATAATTCTTCTCAAGTTCATTCCTTTGAATCTTGTGTGAAAGTGTAATATAAAGACAATAACATATTTCTCATAATTTATATTTTTGTTCATATTTAATAAATCTACATCTGTATAGTTCTATATTACTGTGTTAATACTTTGAACACCAAAGCCAATTTTTTTATCACACAATAAACTTTCTTATTTTTTCCATTTTTTAACAAAAATTAGAATCAAAAACTGATGAGAAAATAATTTTATTGGATTCAAAATTAACAAAGAAATTATAGACAAAAATGTGCAAAATTCTGGTGTTCAAAGATTTAACATACAACATGTATCTAATATTTTAGTATATGAGATGTAAATATTGTTTGTACTTTGTAAACAACATTTTATTTTTTCCTGTTTACTTTTAATTTCTATGATAGTTTCAGTATTGTAAATGATGGAATTTCTCTGTAAATCTTTGCTGTATCTTTGACACACTGATTTATGGTTAATCTTCTTGGTACGGTTATTTGTATATTCAATACTTCCTCCCATAGTTTACAGTAATACATGTCTACTCATATACGAGAATCATATAAATACTTTATTCAACTCATCATGTACTATAAATAATGCATATGGTTTCAGTTGCGAGGGAAGTACACCTGTTTACATTAGTATATGTGAAGGGTGTCAGCCTATTTAAGCAGGGGAGTCGTCACCTGTGCATGCATCAGATGGCCATAGCGTTTCATTGTTTACAAAAAAGCGTCTACCCATGAGCCTTTGTGTTTTTAGCGTGTGTTGTTATCATTGCTTGGGACTCAATTCTCATCATGGGCAGGTGACAACCCTCTCGCTTTAATGTCTCTCGATCACTAAGGATGTAAACAGTGTGCCTTCTAAGCCGATATGATATGCCGCTGATCCACAGAGATATTTTGTGACCCAACTCGTTATGCTAAATTTCCGGTACACAAATGACGCAAAAAAAATCATTTTTACTGTAGGAATTTGGTAATGTGAATTTCACATTTTCTAAATAATTTAAAATAAATGTATAAACTAAAGGTTCAATGTGTCACAGCAGTTTAGTTTGTGTGTACAGCCGCTCCCTTCAAGAGCTGCCGACAACCCCATGTACAATCTTCTTTTTTTAATACCACTGTTTTGGGACTCCAGATTCCTCAGAAATCATTCCTCTTAGAGGGCACACTGGATTTAAATATAGTTTATTACATATTAATTGTATAAGCTTGTGTGACATGTACTTCTAACTTCTCTGCAGCAGGTACAACAGTCACTCTTCAACATCATCAGCTACTGCAAAAAGCTGTTCTATCTCCGGCACAAAAACATGCCCTTCCTCCGCCTCCCCAGCTTGTGCCTTCATCAGTTGCAGCGCCTGGCAACCAGCCTAGTTCAAAGAAAGCTGCTCATACCCATATTATATCGAGATCCAGACCCAGGTAACCATTACATTGATCATTACTCTCATGGCTTAGTGGTGGTGGTAACTATCATGTATCTCGGTGCTTCCATGCATGTGTTATTTGTCTTAGCTTGCACAAATGAAAATTAACAGCAATCTGCTTCTTATGCTGTGTGGCTTCAGGATCTTTAGGTGGAGGGATGTATCACTTAACACATAGCCTACTGATGATGTTATTACACTGTTTATATCAGCTATCTGTGGTGGCCTTCAGGAGGAAATGTGTTACTGCACACTCCACCAAAAGTCAATTCAATTAAGTTTTAAATCAGATCTGAAGAACTGTTCATGCTTGGACCATAAATCAACAAACAACACTCTGAAGCTTTGCACAATATCAAAATTAGTTGATGCTTGCTATTTTTTATGCATGTGCTTCAGCAAAATTAATCAAATATTTAGGATTTTTACCAATATGTTTCATTAAATTGAAATTTCCGACTAAGATTTTATACATCTAATTCTTTCTTTGTCACTTTCCACAAATAATCTTCATAATTGTTTTTCTATTATTATTTTTTTTTATCTAGACCTGAGCCAATAGGAAAATAGATCCAAAATTGACAGAAAAAACAGTAGGAAAAAACATAAAAATTTGAAAAATGTTGCATCCAAATTTCGGCAAAATCTATGGCATTCAAGGAGCTACCCAATGTATAAAGGACAAGATGGTGTCCCTGGATTCAAATTACCATTTAGCATGAACTGAATGAATGCATGCATATTCTAGTTAATAGTATCGGATAAAAACTTTAGACTGTAATTTTAATGCATGTATGTAGTGATTACTAATAATATCAAGATGACATAACCCCCACCATAAATACTCCTACGTCAATTTCTTACCTATTGCTGTATGCCTCCCAATTTTTTTAAATTTTTTTTAAAATGAGTTTTAATTTTCTCACATTGCCATGGAAACATTTCAGTTATGAACACCGTTAGCTATGAGATAATGATTTTATTTGTATTCATGTAAATTGAGGCTGCCACGATATTTCACTTGACAGTTGAAATTTCTGTCATCTTAATCGTCACACATTTCATTTAAAATTATTCCCATATTTGTTTACAGTTAACCTAAGTCCTAATCTTCTTGATGAGACTAACTAAGCTTGTCACATTTTTAATTATTGCTATGTTTCTTCTGAAGATCACAACTTGCATATTTTCGGAGAGATATAAAATTTGTATCGTTTTGATTCTTCCAAGCATTAACTAAAGCCCTTCTATCATAGCATTATCTTTTTTCTTCTTTTGTTTCCAGTTAAGAACTACATGACTATGTCTGCCAATGCTTCTATGCCCAATTCTAGGCTTGCCATGCCATTTCATATCATGTTAGCACAAACACTGTATCCATAAATTTTTATACATATTTTTGTCATCCAAACTGACATGCTAAACATACTCAATTGTGACTTATTTCCCAATGCCACTAATACAAATTCTCATGAATTTCATTTTAGTGTAGTTTTCAAAATAGACTTGACAAAGTTATAACTGACAATGACATCACTCTCAATCTTTTATTGGATCGCATTGAGTATTAAACCGTCTTCCCGAGATTTACAAATTAATGAAAGAATATTCAGTTTTATTTCTTCCCTAATCTTGTGTATTTGTGCAATCTTCAGGATTTTGTAATATATAAATAATCATGTTTCCTTCTGTCACAAAATGTCACATTATGAACTTTTGTAAACTTTTCAAAATTATGAACTTAAATCTCTTTGTAAAACTTTTTGTGAGGTTGACACAGTTGTATGCATACAATGTCGTAGCTGAGCTTTTTGAGAATCTCAAACTCTGCTCAAACTTCTTCTCTCCATAAATCTTATTAATGTCTTCTCAAAACGTGATTTAAATTTACTTTTATCAGACACTTTGTACATCACTTACACATCACATTTTGATGGAGATAAATCATAGGTACAATAATGCTGTACAAGTGTATCTACTGTCAACTGTCAATTTCAAAAAGCACTCACTTTCTCTATTTTTTACACTATAAGTGTCAATTACATATAGCAATATTTAATCTGTATTCTTTTATTTTTATTCTTGTAATTATCTTTAGCATGGAGAAAAGAAATAGGTACTTGTAATTTAATTTAATTTTCTGTTCTCTCTTTTCTTATGTAAAGTTATTATTTTTTTATATTGCAAAATCAGCTGCAATATTATAATCTGTTTTAGTGATAAATTGCTCTTCATTCCATTGTTTTTTTTTAAAACTTAAAAGAATAGTCAGGTGAAGTACAATCAGCACATGCAACCAATTGCTTGACCACTACTCTGGAAATATTTACTAGTAATTGAGATATATATTGAACTATTGGAAATAGATTTGTTTGTTGTCCTAGAAAATATATACTGTAAAATACTTTATTTTCGCTTGGAATTTATTTTCACTATTTTCGCTGAAGGGATGATTCAGAGAAAATAAAATCTAGTGAATAAAAAATAAATTCCATACAAAACACCCAAAAAGTCTTTTCAAATTAATTCCAGCTAAAATAAAGTATTTTACAGTATTGGGAGAATTTTGCTCGATACCAGACAAAGTATTTTGTATATGATCTTGATTATCCACTGCTTGCTGCTATCCAGATCATTCTCTGGTGCGGCTGTGTTACGCAGACAAGCTGTCTCAGTAGATGTGCCACCCACAGAAACCACAGATTTGCAGCACGACATCCAGCCCAAGACATCACCAGAAATAACACCAGCAGTGGAGAATGGATATGACAAGTCGTTGACTCAGAGGTTGGACCCCCCTCCTCCACCCCCTCGGAGGAAACTGAGACATGTCCGGTCTTCATCTCTTGATCTTAGCAAATTGTCATTAGAAGGAGGGGAAGCGCTTCCTGGTAAGATTAGTTTCACCATCATTTTCAACGTATGTGAGATTTTGTTAATTATTATTAATTGGAGAGTCTTGCATATGAACATGGTATAGTATTATTACAGAATACAGAATTTTGGAGGTGAAAGGAATTAAAGAAACCTTCATTAGATCTTATAGGTACAGTTTATTAAATACACACGTCTCAGGCTGCTAGGGTGTCTATGCACAGCCCTTTGGCGCAGTATTCTGAAAATAAGAAGATTCAATTTATATCACTTTGCAATGTTACTCCAAAAGTTTTTCCTTGTACAGCCTATATGCCATATATGGCTGTGTAGATGTGTTGCAATAATATTGTTTGCATGTCACATGACAAGTATTTGTATATGCTAGTAAACTTTTGATGAAGGCACCAGTATGGCTGCCTATATAAGTGTGTTTTGATATACCGAATGTTACACTAGTGTCACTACTAGTGCCACTGGTAGGATAACTCACTGCACTATATACCGTATAATCATAGACTGTATATACTCAGTATTTAACAAGATTGTTTGGTTCTAGTTGGCAGTTCTAGTCCAGAGAAGATATCCCCTGTGTTGTCAAGACCTACAATACCACCTCGTACCTCATCGGTGAGTGTCAGTTTATATGTGTACTAGCATTAGGCCAGCATATGTAAATATCATAACAATATATGTTATGCTGACAAGGGAGTATTAACCATCAATCGTAAAATGTTACTAAAATAAACAACACTAATTTATTACCTCCTGTTCTACCTGCATCTCTGAAGATTCTTTCATTAATCCTATTTTGTAGTGACCATTCTTGTCATACAATATGTTCTTATGTCTTATATAATATCTTTGTATGTGCATTTAGTGGTGAAGCCATGTATTACATTTATATTTATCCTATATTTATCTTTTCGTTGTAGGTTGGTAAAGGTCAGCTTAAGGCACAACTTAGTGAGCCATCGATGGCTAATGAGGCCGAGTCAGGCAGTGGTGATCAGCCTTCACAAGATAATTTTGCAGATTTTAGTAAATTTGATAGAGTTACTGCAGATTCACCCAAAGTAGAACACAAGCCTTCTCCAGATATGGCACATAGAAGAGCTTTATCATTGGATTATAGGAAAATTGTGAGTGGTTTTTGAGTTTTTCACTTTGATTATGATGTATGTGTATTTGTACCAGTGGATGGTAATCGTTGTAGAATCAACAGCGTTACTGATATCTTTGCCATCCAATGTCGTCGCCACACCATCATATCCTGGCCGAATTCCAACTATGGACTTGTATTCACTGTTGACAAAATCAAACGTGTTTCCATATCAAACATGAAGCCACCTGTTATTTTCAGTTTTAAGCTATGATGTGGTATAAGACGACAAAAATATTTCTTGAAATTTGAAATTGATGTGACTTGGTGTTACAGTTACACTGATTG